TCAGTGCCTTTTTCCAATGACTTAATCTTTTAGCTTCTTCGATTCTGTAAAGCATCTCAGCTGCAGGCCCTGGTGGTTTCCCCCGGTACTTCTGAAGTTCGGAGCAGCTTCCCTAACCAACATGATGACATCCATCGTCAAAGAGTCCCTATCCTTACGATCGATTCCTGATTCTTGGCGTTCAGTGGCCATTATTCCGATCCCGAAATCCATGTTCTCAACCGTTCTTGCGAAACGATTTCGTCCTATCGCGCTGACCTCAGTGGGTCTAAAGTTAACTGAAAATGCATGTCGAGTCGGTTGCAGTCAGACACCACAATTCCTCACGACCCCACTCAGTTTGTATATGAACTAAACATTGGACGCCGTATCCACTCAAGAGCATTTCATCATTGAGTCATTAAACCATTCGGTCAAGTCTGTCCGTTGTGTTTTTCTCGACTATTCGCCCTCGTTTGATTCTGTTTCCCGATCATCCCTTCTTTTCAAACTTGAATCTCTTGGCACTCCAAAACAACTGCTCTCAGGCTTGCTGACTATTTCACACAGGGGGTCTAGTGCACCAAATAAGGAAGGAGAACATCAAAACCTCATGTTAATAATTTTGGTGTTCTTCGAGGTGCTGTTCTATCTCCATATCTTTTTTTGCCTTTATTAGTGATCTTTCGGTCCCACCACCTGCGCACATCCAAAAGTATGGTGATAACGTTGTTTGGTCTCAGACAGTTTCATTTCCTTTGAAATTCCATTCTTTAACTGAAAACCCATCCCACATCCAACAGTTTTCTGACCAATTTGGTCTCAGTCTTAGCATTTATAAGTGCGTAAAGAGCAGTTTCAGTCTTTTCCACTCCTCATTTCAAACGGACTATGCTAACTTTAACGGTAAACCTGTATCCAGAATGACTTCAGTCAAGTACCTGGGTGTCACGATCGACAGCAATCTTCGTTGTTCTGCACATATTTACAACTGTATGAGAAAACTGAGACGCCTATCTTTTCAATTACGTAAATTCAGGCAATTCCGAACCCCACAGCCAGTCCTGTCATCTTTCGTTCATCAATACGTTTTACCCGTTCTACTCTATTGCTCCCTTGTAGTGTTTCCCGGTCTTTTAAAACAAGACTTCAAAACAATGCGCCGTGGTTTGGTGATCATCAGTCGTGCATCATTAATTCCGATCGATTCACTAACCACGGAACTCATTGATGGTTACAACAACTCGTGTTTTAAATTTGCTCAAACGATTCTAAATAACCCTCTTCATTCACTACACCCTGATCTATCGTCATGGCGTTCGCATCCGTCCACACGCTCCTCATTTCGGCAGCTACCGTCTCGCATTAAGATTTATAAAAATTCCCCTGTACCCTACTTGGCCCGACTACTTATCAGAAAGGAACAGGTCTCAAATGAACCACGTCAAAAGTTTTGTACGTGAAACAAATATCACCGACATTCTTTACCTTTCGTTATTATTATTACTATTATTATTTCCTTTCGCGTGACGCACAGTGTACATTTTCAACTGAAATGAAAGCATACATGCTTGCACAGGTTATATAAATATAAATACCCCAAAAGCAACCTTTTATAGTGGATTTTCAGAAACCTGGAGACACAAATCACGCTATGCGAGTTAGACTTAAATTGACTGAGTGAAAAAAATGGTAGTAATGCCTCGTAAGCTTCAGATCGGTAAACTTAGTTCCTTTTTGGCCTTGTGTACCAGCACCTTATTGCAGTGAAAATGATGCAGGTTACAAAGATTAAATATTTTGGGCACCGATTCAGGTGTACCATCAAGGCCATTGCGCACTGTAACAGAAATGGATGGCCTCCAGCCTTAACGATGCAGCATGTGGAGTGGTCTGCAGCAGGTATTTTGATTATCAAACTCCTACAACCCGTATTCCGGTTAGTTATGTCTATAAGGAACTGAAATTAGCTCCCTGAGACGGAGTCTGCTCTGCGTCTTCCCCACGACGACAGTCTACGTCTATGACCGTTATGCCATTGGTTAATGATGGGGCGTTTAAAAGGAGAATAGGTAAAGGGAAACTTTACCTCTTCATCAGTGCGCACCTGGCAGATTTTGTATGCCAGTAAGAACACAGTAGGCATCTAATAATGTAGTATTTGTTGGACTTTTGCGCACTTTCATGTTGATGTTTAAAAAAGTATGCCAAGAGTTCTTTCACATGTTCCTTATTGGAATCTTATCACTTGTTCGTTTTGAGTGTATCGCAAGTCTTTTCTTTACTTTCACCTATCTTTTGCATCTACAAATAGAGCTGAAAAGAACAAGGGATCGCAGATGCATAGGGCAAGCCAGTGCGGGTAAGCAAACAAGTTCGAATACACACGAGAAGAGTTCATGTATCGAATAAGGCAAACTGTTATTTTGACCCCTAGACCATCTCATGTCTACAATCTACAGACAGAAAGATGGGAACGAAGAAACACAAAATGCTTGTCAAAAGCCATTAGGGGCTTTTGTCCAGGAGCGAAATGTTCTCTCATGTGTGAGAGCGTAAAAAAGCTAACATCATCATCTCAACTATCTGCATCGGATTGGAACGATGGATTTTTTTTACTTTTTGCATACTCTATGCATATATATTATGCAATAAAATATATTGGAAAAAATACTTATCTCAATCACCGATTGTGTTTGACGTTCATGCCTGTAAGGGGCAGATTTTGTCCACGGCTTGTCATTTACACAAATCGATATTCGGGATTCCGGGTGTTGTGTTCTTAATTAAGTAGGTAAATGAGAACTCAACGAATTAGGCAGTAATTCTTTTTGTAGACAGCAAATATGTAGCCGGTCCGCAAGTCAGGGAATGAGCAGGAACGAACATTGTGTAGGAAGGACGGAAGGAAAGCAGGCAGGCCAACACTGACTCACACGTCGCACTGCATGTGAACACCGTCAAGCATTCAAACAGTCAGTCAATCGATCAACCGATCTGTCGATGAATCAAATTAGCCACAGGCACGTATGAACACAAATCAGTCACGAAACCGGGAGATACCACACACTACATTACAACCATGAGAAGTTTTCATCCTTGACATCACACCATTATCCAATCAACTTGAGCTTGTTTGTAACTAACTACATCATTCATGCTATGTATGCATTCGTCCATCAGTTCCCATTGATCGTCCAGTCACGTGATTTGTCCGTACCAAACTTTGACCAATACCCCTCAGGGGCGTTTTGGTCGTGAGCCAGCATGACCTCGTTTCAAGTCATTGTTTAATCGATTAATGTATTCTCACGATCAGTCAATAAATCTTTAGCTCAGTTCTAATCAGTACGCTGTCTTGTGTGTTCTGATTTCTTGTGTTGGGCCCCTAAAAATAGTGTGCAATAACATCGCGATTGACATTCGGTTTCAACAGTATTAACGATGGGGGATAGGATTTGATTTTACCAATTCTGGTCAACGAAATTTTCATGTGAGTGCTTTTGGACACCATTTTCCCAGATTTGTTTTTGGAAATATTTTTAACTGAAGGAAATGAGCGCAATGCACTTATCAAGTATCACTCGTCTACTGCAGTTTGTAGTGATTTCGCAACGTACGCGGGTTAGTTAAATCGAGTTTTCTGCCATTTTGTTACGCTTTCAGAGCTTGATCGGAAACGATCTACGTGCTGCCTCTAATGTATCTATCCAGCAGAGGAGCGGAAACGCTATTTCTACCCATAGACTTTGTCGTTAGAAGTTGATTGATGCCTCATTGGTGTTGGTTCTCCGTACAGATGGTCGTGTGCATTTGCCGCCCAAATTCTATGAGCGTGAGTTCAAACATGAAAACAGTTTTTGTTCCTGGGCAAGTAACAGTGTTCTCGCGCATGGCAATTGAATATTTTATCCTCTTTGGGATGGAAGTCATGGTCCGCACACTTTCAGACGCATTGTATTATTTTCTCTAATCCGTTTATTTCCGTGACTAAGAACTGATAACAGCACAGTGTAAAAGTTGCGCATGTTGATTGTGCCCAGGGACAGAGTGGGTTGTTCGATCCGGGTCAAGAATCGGCGGACGTGAACAATGTATGCCCCCCCCCTCCCTTATTTCCACTCAAGGCCGCATTTGCTATCCTATGACGTTGAAAAGAATCATGTGATTTTTTTGCCATATTACATGATAACCAATAATTTCTGACGATTTATCAAAGAGTTGATTATGGTAGTTTATGTTTTAATTAATGAAATAATGTTGAAATAATGTCGAGCCGATCCAACTGGCATAAAATGCTTGACCAAATCGAAGGTTTGGCTTGTGTTGAATACCTTCAGGATCGTGGTCTTCTTCCAAATCACTCTGTTGGATTTATTGACCCTACCATCGGCTTGGACACAAACAACGTGGAGGCATTTTGGAGCCATATAAAGAAAAGATTGAAGAACGTGCACAGATCCGTTGGTGAGATGATTTGGGATCATCTAGATGAGGTTCAATACAGATTATGGCTTAATTTTTCATAGGAGACATTTCCGGACGATATATCTACATTTCTGGACCACATAAAACAGATTTATCCTTTGTAAATTTTTTCATTCTTTCTTAGTCATAATTTTATACACTTATTATTATTATTATTAGTGTAATTATTATTGCTAATCATATTTTTCTTTTAATATTAAGTGGGTATTATTCCACGGCTTGAGTCTTTTTCATATATACTACTTATTAGTAGCTTAGTTATTATTGCATAAATAGCTTAGGGGGGCATGCATCGTTCACGTCCGCCCAAGAATCTATCCCAATCAATTGTATACTCGTGCCTTCCTGTCTACAACAGCTCACACACATACACTTAAAATACATATAGATCTCAAATAATCAAAGATATTTACAGGAGAAGAACGAAAGTAATTCATGGGCTCTATCAAGCTCGCAATTCAAACCGGAGAATGAATTTCAATTTTGCACAACGTTTGATACAAAGCACTACCTTATTTCGTCATCTTTGCGAAAATATCGTAACATGGTAAACGTGATCAGCAATTTGATAAACCTGTTCAAAACCATTTAAACATTAGTTCGATTTTCAATAAGA